AAGAAGTTGTAGACTTTTACCCTTAAAAATCCGAGGTTCAAAATTCGCGCGCGTTCAACGTGAAGTCTTTGTCTTACAGTATAACAAGGGCTGCCATGAATAAACAATGAGCAGGTAAATTTCATCGCTATATATAACCTAAATGCAGTCATCTGTAAACAGATTGTTTATGCAAATCGGCTTCTAAAATAACGGTCGACGGGCGAAGTTTGAATACTGATCGATACTGCTGGCTTGCGTTTACGTTCGTAAACCACCAATGGATGTCGCCTATTAGACAAAGAAAGGTTTCTCTTTATCGCTGTACGCGCAGTGACTCCAACCAGCCACTCTAAAAACTAAAATTCGTTTGTAACGACCGGAATAGATGCGAACACTGAATCACCCGTGTGTCGAACTTTCTTTCAATTGCTACTGGGATCACTGATCTCTGTTTTTAAGGCCAAGCTTTAGTCAGTTTGAGCTCTGTTAAGGAATATAAACTTATGTGCCAGCCGTTTTGGTTTATATAAGAGCTAAAACCCTTTCAAATACGGAAGCAAAACATTACACACCGATTACAGGGGGAACAGGGTGGGGGAGCAGGGATGGCGCAGTGGTGAGAGCACTCGCCTTCCACCAATGTGGCCCGGGACCGATTCACGGACTCGACGTCATACGTGGGTTGAGTTTGTTGTTGGTTCTCTTCTCTGTTCCGAGAGGTTTTTCTCCGGGTACTCCGGTTTTGCCCTCTCCGCAAAAACCACCATTTCTAAATTCCAATTCGATCCGGAATGCTCGAGCGTTTAATACATGAGCCCCTGGCTCGGGAGATTGGGCAACCACTCCTCACGCCATCGAGCTTAAATAAAATTGATTTTGATTTTTTTTGACAGAACTTTACGCTGAGCGTCTACCGGCTTCTGCGCGCTCAACACTCAAGGCGCGCAGTGTGTTTATTTACGACTTAATCAAGATCTCGCTTGCGTAGAGATAATTCGACATTTCATCATTCGTTCTGTGGTTTAACTTTTTTACCAAACAAACTGTCCATGACCAAGCAAAAGTGAGTTTTTAAAATGTTTGCTGCGAAATATGCGCATTTGTGCGATTTGCAAATTAAAGGAGAAACAATAGTTAACTGCCTTCTTTGTTAAGTTTGCCACCTACATCATATTAATGAGCATGCTAGTGCGTTCAGGGCAACCAATCGTTGAAGCGCTTTCATAGCGTCCACGCTTAACAACGCGTGATATGATAGATCTACAAACTTTGTTGAACTGGAAGTAAATGTCTCGAGAACAATAGACATTCTGCGAGATGTGAAAATTACGCGACAGTGGAAGTCCACTTTAAAGCTTACGATCGCATAATCTGAATATAACGTAAGTCAATAATAAAATATTAAGATATCTCCCAAAGCTTTTATGCCAAGGAAATCTAACATTGAATTTTTTAATATGTGAAAAATAATTCCTTTCGACTGGGGGGAATGCAAAATCCTACAACTGAATAACCGTCCAGTCATCAAATGGCAACGGCATCCATCCCCGTATTCGAATCCATCCCTGTATTTGTATTCACGCTAAAGTTGCATGAGGTTGTAAGCACGTCGGACAATGCAAAGCCGTGAAATTCAAATTTCTTTACGCTTATAATGATCACATAATTTGATTAGGTACCGCGTGCCTTAGCCAATACAACTAGCTACCTTATGATGAAACAAAGAGATACCTATCAAAACTTTTCCGCTTAGGAAATCTCACATTTAACTGATCATATTTCAAAAATGGAGTTACATTTTAAAATTAAAATTTCGTCAAGATGACTGGCCCAAAATTAAATCAGTCATAAAATAACACCGGCATCCACTTTCCACTTCATTATTAGGATCGAAATTCGTGCTAAGGTTGCATGTCTTGAGTGTTGTTGTTGTTTTTTCTTGATGGAGGTTGTAACCCGTGCTGTGAAATTCAAATTGCTTTTCGCTTATGATCACATATTCCTACCTCATGCCTTTAAACCAATACAAATACTAAGCTTATGATGAAATAAGGAGACTTCTGTCGAGGCTATTCTGCTTGTTGGAACATCACTCATTAAACGGATCATATTAGAGAACTCGGAAATTTTGCCTATAAAAGTAAAAATCTCATCGAGATTATTGCCCAATCTTTTTACCTTACAACTAAATAAATAACACCGGTATCAACTCCAATAATCGGAACTTTGCACGAAGGTTGAATGAGCGTTTTCTTTATAGATGAAGGTTAGAAAATGCTCGTTGGACAATGCAAAGCTGTGAAATGCAAATCAGCTTTACCCTTATGATCATATAACAGGTACCGCTCGCCGCCTTGTTAACCTCTACAAGTAGCGAGCTTATGAAGAAATAAGGAGATATCTGCCAAACTTTTCTGCTTGGACATCAAACTGATCATGTTTAATAACTAAAGAATGTTACTGAGAAATTTCCTTGAGATGATTTGGCCTATTTTTATCATAAGTTAATAACTTTCAGTCTAAAAAAACACCGCTACCCTAATATTAGGTAATTCGGGCCAAGGCTCCATTATTTAGTTGTTTCTTTTTTCTCGATGGGGGTGGTAAGCGCTTCGGACAATACCAAACCGTGAAATTCAAATTGCTTCACGCTTAGAATCACATATTTTGAATATCTTACGTATCTAGATCAATAGAATGAGCCAACTTATAGATATTGAAATCTGAGACAAACAGTTAAAAGCAAAAAGTTGTTTACAAACCCCCAGAAATCACTGGTTACCAGTTCAAAGCGCTACTGCTTTAGGGAGGATAATTTGACAACTCCTTTACTTTGTGAACATGGTAACAGAAAGTGTGATAACGTTTCTGCTCATTGTTGCATCGATCGAAGCTCGGTATGTATATATCCTTTTTTCATAAATTTTTAGATTGTGACTGTAGCTGACTAGTAACTAGTCTTTTTTGCAATTTTTCATGTCCTTTCATAATTTTATAACGGTTTAACGAAAACACTGCGGAGTTCTGTAGGAGAACGAACAAAGGACAGTCAACTAATGTTCACGCTAACCTTCTACTGGGTTGTCTCTTCTTTCAGTTTACTGGATATATTACAATGTCAGGTATATTTGTTTCTGGCGCTTGACTGCTCGATCTCAATTCTAACCATTTCTATGTAAACTATTAAAGCGGGTAATCAGATAAAAAATATCAGTATAGTATTTTAATATTAGTCCATTCGCCTTTCACGATATTGAAGTAAAGGCAATTGCTGATAGTGTTTCTAGTCATTTACAAACCGTAAATCAGTTTATTAAAGGAAGGAAGAAGGTTTATTTTCAGTTCCAAAAGCCGCTTATCATCATTCTCCCATAAATAGGTTGTTATTTTTACAACAATCGACATAAAAGATAAATACAAATTGTAAGCATTTACAATGACAAAGATAGATGCAATAGAAAAAACTTTTTATTTTGAAATTTGTGAAGCTTTTAGCTTAGTATTTTTAAAAGCCAGATGCCAGCAATTGATCAGATAAATTCTAGAATTTGAGAGTAGTTAAAGAAATAGCTTAGAATTACTCGAAAGTTTCACTCTTACATTGTCATCCTTATCTTTTTACGGGAAAGTATTCGGACAATAACTAAATCGCAGAATCAGATCTTCGTGACAAAATGCAGTGAAAACACAACCTCTGAAAATCGTAACATTTGTCGACATTTACACGGAAATTTCTAGGCAATATTTTCTTAGTGGAACAGAATAAAAAGGTCGTAGGGTGCTCTTGCATGAGCGCCGATATTACCGAATTTCAGATAAAAAAACCACCAGTGGAGAAAGTGTCAAATACCAGTCCGGCCGAGGAGAAAAGTACAGTGAAACCCCGGCCCACGCCACTCCCATTTATACGACCACCACTTTACTATAAGCACATTATTTGGCCCAAAATTAAAACACTCAGTCTCCCTCATTTTAGACTTTCAAAAAAGTCCTTAGTCCGATTTAGGGCGCCGGACCTCTCACGACTTCGTCGCTCGCGTGGCCGCTTCAATTCGCGGCGTAAAAGGTTCGTTCTGCTCGCTAAGAAACTCGTGAGGTCGACTTGTAGCAAGTCTACACTCTTTTTTGAAACCTCATTTACACTAACACTATGTTTATACGATCTGGAACCGATTCTGACACTAACGGAGGTTCCAACTGGCCACTGTTCCTCATCTTCTGACTTTATGTTTTGTTATGCATCACTAGCCAAAGCACATAGATAGTCGTCTATAATGGTTTCTCGAAAAATGTGGATCCCAGAAAATTTTGGCCTGATCTTGAAACCTCGGGCGCGTTTTTGATCGAAGTCTCGTTTACACTTGATTTTGCATCTCGGAGTCTCGAATTTTTTTAAGTCTTGGTCTCTAATTTTAAAACCGTGGTTTCGCATGCAGTCCCCCAAAGTCTCGAATTTACCATTCTATGCCCTTATAAACGTCGGTTTACGAGTAGAAATTAGTTGATTTTAGGGTTACCTTGGCAACCAATGAAATGATGCAATTTGTTTCCTTAGTTTTTGTAAGGCTCGGGAATCCAACGCAATTCCACAATCAACCGTCTTTAATACAACGTTATTAAAAACTAAGAGAGACTGGGAATAGGAACAGTTCATTTTTTAATTCAATTTTTGGCAGTTTCTTAACATCGTGCGGTATGCTGAAAGATCCTATGCCTACAGGAGCAAATATTGTATTGGAAAATATTTCACTTGACGGATTAATATTCAAGATCACGTGACAATGTGTGAGCAATCGGCTAACATACAAGTCGTTAAGGCCGTCTATTAAGCTTAAGGGTATCTTAGCATAGAATCTTTGGTCTTCATAGGTACCTTTTGTGTCAGTTTGACGATAGTAGGGGAATTAAACAATTCCTGGCTGAATTAAATATTCAATTTATCAACTTATTCTTCCTTTTGTATTCGCAAACACAGCGGAATTCGAGTTCGCCGAAACTTGGGTGACGTCTGTCAAAACATGTGGAATGCAGCCGGTAATAACATGGTCGTGGGGACGGACATGACAGTGGATACATCATCTACAGCTACAAACTTGTTTACTGTAACTTCGACCGGCCAAATCAAACTCCAGCAGCCAGTATACACTAGCTTCAAGGGTAAAAGCTACAGTACTTCTCTTCTACTCTATGTAGTATTATTAGCAGAGAATTAATCCCGAATCAATTATTCACTACTCCCTGAATTAATTTGAGTTATTCTGTTAGCATCCTATCCGAGAATAGTTTAAGCTGAAGTAATAAAAAAAAATTCAAAAACAAAAACAGAAGGAAAAAAAAAACGAATAAGACTGAAACAAACAACAGCAGCAGCAGCGGCGGCAGCAATTAAAACAACAACAGAAAACAATTTTGCAAAAGGCTTAAGGTGCCTAAACAAGTGAAGGAGTTCTTAAGTTAAAGCAACGTGTCTTGAATGAAGGTTAAGTTTTATCAGTGAAGGTTACTTAGGGAACTTCCCGGTATCATGAAATCAATAAAATGCGTAACACTGGGTTATTCTGAGCACACACCTTATACATGATGTGGATAGCTTTCAAGTACAGCTGGCTTCTTCTCAACTCCCCCCTGCACTTACTCCATGAATTAATTACCGAACATGTTCCATAAGAATGTCCGCTCCCTGCTTGACGATTGGCAGGAGAAAAATTTCTTGGCGACAATTGTTGCCCAGCGGCTCTTCTTCAAGTGGGTTGAAAAATGAAATATCAGTGCCGTCTATTTTCAGTAGGTCTAGCCTCAGGAAATATGAGCTGAGGCGATGCAAGCTTTCTACTCTTCTTCGTCTTTCCATTTGATTTGTATATACTGCGTAGCAAGCTAGTCATTCTCCCAAAAGGTCAAAAATTTAATTTGTAAACTACATTTATCCACAAGATTTTCAACTGGATGAGTATGTTGTATGATAAGCAATGATTTTGTCCGCAAATATTCCGCTCAGGCTGGCTTTTCCCAGGTACTTCGAGAATCCCTTCTAAAAAAGACAAATTGCTGACACCCATCTAGGACGTAAATTAAAATGTCGTGTTGTTTTAAGGTTCATGAACCACGAATAATCAATATTTTCGTGCCAGGAGAAGATACTTGCCTTATTTTACACCGATAAATCGTATGCAGTATGAAGGTAAACTTTGGGCAGTAGACAGTTACCAAGTATGGCAGCTTCTGTCGGAGGGGTCTGCTCCACATCATTTAAAAAGGCGTTAAGTGTACGTACATCATATTTGCTTTGTTGGAACTAACTTAGTTTTAAAATTCTGCTAAAGCCCTTCTAGATAACTACATTTTAGACGAGACAAAGCCGGAAATTCCTGCTTCTCAGAAGTCACAAGAGGAAGACAACTTTATCAACACTATCGCCGTCGAAGGAGGTCCCGTAGATATTGCTTTTAAATATCTAAAGACGAATGGAAAGACTACAGCAACAGTAAGATTTTTTTTGGAATGTTTTGTCTTCCTCCTTCTCCGAATTATACGAAGCGTGAAGGAAGCGTTGTGCGGAAGCCATCCTCGAGCACCTTTCCATATCACGCACTGACTTGGCTCAGTAATTAACCTCTTCTTCCAACCTTTCTTGAATGCGGCATTTCACTGTGCACCAGTCTCCCTCAACCCCAGCCACCGCCTTGAAGCCGGCGAAGGCGCTACATATTTGATTATTATTGATGCAGCATTTGAAATTCGCCACCGCAAGCAACAAGTATTATATAACCCTGAAACTTTAAAGAGCACGGCACGAACAAGACAAGGATGGACAAAATGAAAAAAAATATGTAAAACAGGTTATAGAACTGTTAAGCCGTCCGTTGGCCCTTGTTAGTACATGTTAGTAGATAAATGTCTGTTGTTTTAAACTTTGGATCACAGCATCCTTTTCTGTCTCGTAGATGTGGTATTAGAAGCAATTTCTTTCATAAGTTTAGCATTTTGGCTAGAAACTCATAGTAACAAAATTGATTTAGCCGAAACTGTCCCGTCACAGCTGTTGAAGGTTAAACTAACATAATTTTCAGGTTGCTTGTCTCTAGACTACATGTTTCACTAATTTAAATTTTTGACTGTTTGTGGTGTCGTGTTTTTTGAAAACTCCAATAGGACCTAAACGCTTTTAAGGCAGCATTGAAGACGATGTGGTTTACTAAATACGCAAAAGGAGGAGGCGTACCGCATTATTCTGGATTTGAGCATACATTTGTTGGTGAGCACATTGCCAAATAAAGAATCGGTTTTGAGGCCATCGAAATGTAACCTTCCCCATCCACATCCAGTCTCATAAACCACACAAAATCCTTTATGATTTTGTATAAACCTAGGGCTTATATTAAAACCTAAATGTTTTGAACTTTTGACTGCAAACTTTTTAGTCTTAATCATCGATCATACAAAACCTCGATGTAAAATGCGTTATAGCCTCTGCCAGCCACTCGGTCAGTGCAGACGAGCGAAAAATGCAGGCGAGCCTTAAAAAAGCGAGCGAGCGAAGGATAACGGTAGGAGAGAAGGGGAAAGCCTGCAAGCATCTCACGAATACCGCACAGTCTGCCCACTTGCAGAAAAACCGTTTCTTGTATCAAAATGACAAAGTTAAAATGTCAAAATGTGCGTGTAGGAGGGTTTCGCGCGCTCGCTGCGATTTTTCTTTTTCTCTGCGTGAGCGAAGCTAAACCGTATTGATGTGGTTGACATAAACTGTCAAAATTGACCAATCATATAGGGTATACTAGGAGCTGGTGGTATTCCGGAATGAGGTATTGAAAACAAACTAGCAAATAGAGACTAATTTAAACTTTTAACCATTTTTGGTCTGTACTTTTTCCTGACGTCAAGTTTTGTGGAATTACGCTATGGCAAGCGAAGATAATGTAGGTTATGGTCTAATTTCACGCCAAAACAGACTGTACCAAAGACGAAGTAAGAATACGTCAAGACGGTTTGCGAAACAGAAATTCGGCTATTTCGTATTCGGATAGCCAAGAACTTTGCCTGGAAACGAGGTTGCTATTTTATATACCTTCGAATAGGTTGGTTATTGCCTTTTCAAATGTGGTAAGCGCCACGTGGCTACAAAGAATTTAGCCGGGGGATTTGAGCCAATCAGAAACGGTGAAATATTTTGGGTTATAGTCCCTTGTTACTTCCAACTATTGAAAGGAGACGTTCGACTGGCCAGAGATCTTTTAAATTACATACACACACAAGAAAACGAAAATAAAATAAAGACAAACATCATCATGTTAACAAATCTAATACGTTTAGCAATGCGGTCTCAAGGGATAATAAAGTAATGCTTTATTTAAAATCCTGGACTACCCCAATGTCTGTTAAATGAGGACGTTCTTGCATAAATTACTTCATCAGGTGAACTGGGCGTCGGCAGCGGAGGGACAACGGTAGTGAAAGGTCTTCACAACTGGTACCAGTTTCTTCTAGAACAGACGGCAGGTAGATTGGCTTACTCTCCACCCCCAAAGAATGTTGTGGATTCGACTAAAAAGGTAAGGGTTTAATCAAAAGAATATTATAGTATCCTAACATGGTCAATGGAGAGACACTTCACTAAAACATTCTATCCTTCACTAGAACTTCGGATTGTTTTCGGTGAGTCAATGTCTCTCTCGACATCTCCCTCACGTTACACGGCCTCATGATCAGTCAGGGGAGTTTGCGAAAGAGACAACTCGCACATGCAGGATAGGTGAAACTTCCTCTGATTTGTAGAAGTAGAACATGATGCGTTTTTTGCATCAGATGGAAAATCCTAGGCCCAGATGGGATTCGAACCCACGACCCTCCGTGATCTAGTCAGATGCTCTAACCACTGAGCTACTGGAGACTCTACGGCGTACAAGGGTGAAAGTAGGTCTTTGACTAGAACTGCATCACGCAGTCACATAGTCAAACCAGGACAAGCACGTATGACTCATGAATAACTGCATCATGCAGTCACATTAAGGTATCGTAGATGCAACCACCACAAAGTGAGTCTTTTCTTGTAGAAGTAGAACATTATATGTTTTTTTTTACATCAAATGGAAACTCGGAAAAAATCCGAGCCCCAGACGGGATTCGAACCCACGAACCCACGACCCTCCGTGATCTAGTCAGATGCGTTAACGACTGATCTACTGGGGAACTCAATGGAGAGCAAGGGTGAAACGTGGGTCTTTGACTAGAACTGCATCACGCAGTCAGTGCGGTGGCTTATTATATTTTGCCTGATCTTGCCCCATATTAGCTAATCCGAATTCCGAAAACCCAGAAATTTTGTGTGTGCTTTTATTATCATAAAGTGATATCACCATTGTTTGTTTGCAGCCACCCTTTATAAACGTCCAGTTTACTTGGAATGGAGCTAGCAAGCCACCTGGTAGCAGCTTTTACGTGGGTACAAGCCCTGCATTTGAAGTGGCGCTTTACACAGCATGCTTTTTGGTGAGCCAGGTGACTGCACCTGTAATGTGGACGGAAAGCAGCTTATGATAAAGACCATCAACTTTAACAATGCTGGAATGGTGCTCACCTCTTATCCTGTAGCATAAGTCCTTCAGAATGAATTGTTATTTCCGCGATGTAAAACAAAGAGAAATTTGGTTCATTTACGTAACATCCCATATGTAAGCAAACAAAAAGAAGAAGCAATAAAGTGCAACCAAACTTAACCAAACTCTGCTCACCATGTTTCTACACAATATTTCCTTTTTTCCTGGATTTTCTCTTCTAAGAGATGGAAAACTGCAGACCTTTCCAAATGTCGTGAAAGCACATTTGTACAGAGAAAGGCTGTTTGAACGAGCAATATCACAAAAATATTCCTACCCTCTCGCACAATGAATTTTATGATCATAAAGGTTAACACTCGCTACATATAATAGAGAATGGCCATTGACGAACGTAGAACTGAAGGAATAATAACAGTTTATTCTTCAAGACCTTTTAATCAGAAAACCGTGATAAATTCCTAGTGTATTTTTTCGAAATTATCTTGTCAAACATAAAACCGGCAGTTCAGCGTTTGCAAGACAAAACCCATACCCGACCGGGTCTCACACCTATTTTTAAGAACAGCTTATGATAATTCCTATCAATTAATATTATTACCAGTTAATTTCATGTGGATTTCCGATAAAAGACACTAGCAGGTTGACAAGTATTTTTTAGGACGTGTTTACATGGAGGTGGGAGACCCCAGATAGTTGAGGTAGCAGGTGACGGGTCATCCCACCCATCATGTAAACGTGATCAAATTAAAATGGGAGAATATATGGACGGGCGGGTTATCCCACCTAACCGGGTTGCCTCACCTACGTGGGGTCCACCACCTCCACGAAAACAGGCACTTAATCCTGATGACACTGCTTGCAGAGTGTATGAGCCCTGCGGGACGGGCTTTCTATCACCCTCTACATTTACCACTCCTCGCCTGACCGAGATTCATGGAGAGTGCCAGTATAACTGAACAAATCCATAATCTGGGTTAATTCAGAACTCGCATAGTAACGTTTTTAAGCCGTGTAAGCAGTACTTGTTGCTTGACAATATTTATCGGAAAATATTCTAAGTGCCCGCAAGTCTTCGCCGCCTTGTTTTATGCAGTTTCGCCTTTTCATTCGCGTGTTGAGAGAGCCGCTTGAATCTGCACCTAGTTTCTTTTCGCCCATTTTGCCTGGAAAACATGCTATTAACTCGTCTTCGGAGAGCAACTCCTTTTGTGGTGACTGGTTTGGTAGGATCGATAGCACTGCATGGATATAAAGCAAGATTCTTGGAACATGGTACAAAGTCATTGTGGGAGCTTCTTTATTTTTGGCATATTTTCTATATCTCGTAATTAACACATTTTCCCCCCAGTATTAAATCCATAGATGCCAAAAGAGCCCAAAAGATGGCAACGTTACCACATTTGTGCATAAAAGTGGATGAGCCATCCCATGATCACGATACAATTCAAATGCTTTTAATTTACATGTTATATTGAATCGTATTTTCCACGCGTGTAGAAACACAGAAAAGGGGCAAATGTAAGCTCTTGTGTTTTACTCTTCTTTTGAAATTCAGTTTTAAACAGTTTCATTTTTAGGCCTCAGTTATAAGGGACAAAATTTATGAGATTCAAAACAAAAACATTCTATTTTCTCCAAAAGTTTCTATTTACCAAAATTCCGTTCACTGTTTTTGGATATCTTTCTTTTCTGACATGCATCTTTTGCGCAACTAATTATTTTACAACTTTGATGGGTCCCAACAATCAATAACATTGCCGGCCGCCTAACCTGAGAAAACAGCCGACATTTGGCGACGCTACCATTTGTTTTCCCGCCAAATTACGACGTCGTGATCATTTCGTAGGGGAAACGAGTGGTGGCATATTCTCATGCTACCAGCCACCTTCCATTGGGCTTTATACAATGATGTGAATGCTACGCGCGCTTTGATTGGTCGTTGCCTATGATCTATCACATTACAGATACATAGATGACGTTACGGGAAACTTGCTTTCTTTGTTTTGTTCAACATGGCGCGCGGTTTTGAGAATGTTTTTGAGACTATTTCGGATTAAAGCAAATGAAAGCCTAGAAAAAAGTTTAGCAAGAGCATTTTACAAAGAAGAAAAATGGTGAAACAGAGACAAAAAGAGCTCTTGACCACTTACGGATGCCTAAACTACAAGAAATCTTCACAACAGTTGCCATGGTGTGTCATGCTACGACAGACTCGCTGTTTTGCAAAATGTTTTCGCCAGTTTTCTGCTTATAGCAAGAAAAGGCGTAGAAAAACTTTTCGAAGAAACTGCGTACAAGGAAGATAAGGAAAAAAAAGAAGAAGCAGAGACGAAAAGTAGTGCTTGGGACTTAAAAATCCTCGAACAGTCAAGCGGTACGAGGCAGGCATGTGTATCGGTCTATTTTCTTAATTTCTGATCATTGTATAAAACAAATAGATTCCATGTTGCCGTGGGTCTGTTCAGTAATAGATCACAGAGGACGTTGAAATATGGTAAAAACATCAGTGACACACTCTCCTACTGCTCGTGTGCCACTTCTTTGTTTTTATCACATTTTGACGTTGAAAACATGGTAAATATCAAACATCAGATGCACATCACCAGATGAAACCCGAGACTTGCTCGACGCGCCGGAGTCTTTTTTGTTTTTCATCTGGTGATTTTGACGTTTGATATTTCCAAACAAAATCATTTTTTTTGAAGGAAATTATGCAAATACTGAACAGTCTCATCCCCAAACACTCATTAAACATTAATTTCCTTTGTATTTTCTTAATGAATTATTAATGAGTTTGAGAATGTTAAATAGACGCCACCATATTCCGACACACGTGAAAATCATTCCATCAGGGTGCGTTGGTTAATTAGAGGCTCTTTTCCATCAGGTTACAAATGGTTTTTTTTTTAATTATGAGCTCGATCGAAATAAATACTAGTTTTTTTTTAGCGTGTTTCTCAAAAGAGTAGATTTTGTGGCTCTAAGCTTTTGCAACTCTAATTTTTCTGAGTTTGAAAATTGACATTTGAATATTACAACCTGCAAAGAAAGGAAAGAGGGCAATACATTTAGCCGTTTTCTCGCGACAAGAGACGGTTTTACACAATGTAAAAATCCATGTGAGCGCCGCCTTTTTTTTTCATCAAAAAATTGATAATTGCTTCTAGGCCGTGTAACTCATGTTTCCTCAAATTAAAGGTCCCTTTGATGTCAACTTTAAAGTTGAAAGATGCTTGTAGAATAAGCAATTACAGTGAAACCTCGATATAACGAAGGGCCAAGGACAAGGCTAGGCTCTTTTCCGCTTATTTTACTATTACTGGGGTAACGAAAATTTTTCGTCATATCGACGTTCCACTGTACTTAGAAAACGTAAAGGTACACAATTATAAGAGCATTTACAGCAAAGATTATTCAGAATCGAAAGAACTCTTGTCAGAATTTTTGCAAGTGCGCCGCGAGTTGCATTCTTATGCTTTGGACTCCTGTGGCCTTACTCATAAATAATAGACCTTGTCACGGTTTTCGACGCCATCTTGACAGTTAGGCAAACACGTGAGAAATTACAGTGTTTGTATGAGAATCTAATGTCGAATCATTTCCGTAAAATGGCTGTTCTGAAAAAAACATGATTTGTAAACTAACGTTTCATTCCTGAGGACTCTGCTGAAAAAATTTGAGGGCGTTGTATGCGCTAGAAGACCTAGAATCACTTTTTAAATTTCTTATACATTTGTCTGTAAGAAAGGCCCGGGAAAATTACAGACAAATATATGGAAAATCTAAAGCAAGCCTCTGGAGAAATTTATGCTCAGCTACGCCCCTGCCCCCCCCCCCAAAAAAAAAACATTTTTAGGACAATTATTTGCTTTGTAGCTTTAGTTTACAATTGATATTTTTTTCAGAACAGCCGTTTTACGGAAATTATTCGACATTAGATTTTCATACAAACACTGTAATTTCTCACACGTTTGCCTACTCGTCAAGATGGCGTCGAAAACCGTGCCAAGGTCTATAATTATAATAACAGAAACTAACGCACCATTAATCACACCAAATAATCATCTTAAATTAGACTAGATTTTAAAAAAATGTCGAACGGTAATGGAAAACTGGAACAACAGTGGCTTTTACAGCGAAATTCGTTATGCGCTGCGCGTTTTGTAAACTTCGAAGGATTTTCGTGTTTTTGTTTTCCAACAATCATCTTAGGAAACAAATGTTTTATTGTGATTGGTGCATTTCGATTCAGTTTGTTTGTTTTTGTTTTTCAAGGTTTTTTGCTTGTGATCGACTTTTTAGGGCAATAATCGACCAGTTTTCTTCGAAGATTTTTCTTATCTTTCTTATTATTGTCTCTTGCTAGTGAATAAAGCAATGTCTGCCTCTCATCATCGCGATTTCCTTCGCTATTCTTGAGCAGTCCAGAGTCATCCTCAGGGGATGTTTTTGCGGACCAAGCTGGGCGAGTGCGTTGCATTGTGATTTGCATTAAACCTGCCCGCTCTCAAATGATTGACGGAACAGAAAGCCCATTCGAAGTTTGCAAACACGCAGTGCGATACAACGAGTTTGGTTGTAAACAGGATTATATAATTTGAACAGGCAGTAAACACGTTACGTAATTGCACTAAATTTGCAATCGATTAATGAGCAGTAAGCAGCTTTTATGAAGAAAACAAATCTAAGAGGTTTAACTAAACAGTTTTATACATGATGTTTAAGGTTTGACACGAATGGAGCATTAGTATCTGATCGATGTCACAAATAGCGCAGCCTTTTTTATGACGTTAAGTTGGTTAATTCTTTGTTACGTAAAGAGAAAACTGTCATCCCGTACAAGGCCGAGTTTTTTTCAGCCTTTCTTTTCGCAATTTCAAAAGTTGTGGTTTCGTCTATAGGAAGAGCTGTGATGATCTTCTTTACAATAAATCCTCTATACCGTAGTTCTTATACTATACACTGTTTTATCTTCATCCA